AAAAAAAACAAAAAAAAAAAAAAAAAAACGGACGCCATATATAAAAAGGTAACGATCATTCCCCCACAACCTCTGCTTGGAGAGTAAGCCGGCTTTATAGTGGTTTGTTACTTTTTTGCAAACCAGTTTCTTACAAAGGAGGCGTTATATGCGACATGAAGGGGACTATAGCTTGAGAGGATGGAGAATGTTCGCCACCGTGCTGATACCGTGCATGACTGATGACGTGGTTTTCAGGAATCATGTACCCGTTTTTCGGCTCATCACTCACATTCTGCACAAACCGTATAGTTAGATCGAGCTAAAACAACTTTTGAGTTGTAAAATGTTGACCTTTATTCCAACACACAGGTTACACAGAGACCAAATTTTCAACGCCTTCATCAGGATAATTAGTGACCAATCACTTCAAAACGTCATCTCGTGAGAGTTACGGTTACAGGCACGTGACCTTACTCGCGAGAGTTTTGAAGTGGTTGGTCATCCTGATGAAGGTGACAGTGGTCGTTGAAAATTTGATCTCTTTTTTCATCTTTGTGTTGGAATAAAGTTCAACATTTTACTATTATGTTTTGTTTTTATGTCGTTGGCGGCGTGAAACTAAGTTGTTAATGTGCCGTCACCATGTCGATTTTTCTGATAATGTCGTAGTTTTTGTACGATGATAAAAAATAGGACATTGTCGGGAAAATCGTTGAAGTTTGTAACAACAACAATCATTATTGACATGGCGACTTTCATACAAAAAAACATACAAACAAGTGAATACAAATGAATTAACCTACGTAACAAATGATTACAAGTATGTAAATAAATTAACATGGCGAATTCGACCTGCCATTCATACTAATATATATTTACCTGTTTGTATACAGTAACTAAAGGTTATCTCTTTCTGAAATGTATTTATATTTATCTGTTGGATGTCAGATGTACACAGCCTAGCCAGTGGTGTACAGCCTCAGGGTGGTTAGTAGCGGGATATCCGGACCAGACAACTCTATTATGCAGATGTAATTACGCGTAGGTGTTTCTCATATCCACCTCATCATGGAACTCAGGAAGCGAAACGGGCAGGTCCAGCGAAGAAAGGGATTCAAATAGATAACGGTCGTGTACCCCGCGGGGTGGTAGGAAATTGGTAGTCACCCTACTCAGCAATCTACAGAACTTGGTAGGGTCTTTCTTTGATGTACACAACATGTCCGAATAATTCTTATGTCACATTTTACTTAGAGGATCACCCGATTTACACCCAGATACAAACTGTAACATTTTGACAATAACCCAAACTTACGTTATCAATACCAAACGGTTTGTATTAGATTAGCGCCTACAAAACATGTTCTTCCTTACCATTCATTATTCATTATCATAATCACTGTGTTGCCATTTTTTTACCCATTTGCTGCTCCCTGTTGTTTTTGTGATAGTCATGTATTTTGTCACTGTATACTTGTATGTTTGGTGGTGAGGTTAGAATTAGCTACAGCTAGAGTACCTCACCACCATGTCCTGTATTATACATGTAACATGTCGAATTCCAATTAAAAAATTTGGTTGAACAGCAAGAATCGGTCGGATCGGTCGGGGGGGGGGTCTCAATCCACCTCAACATGGAACGTAGGAAGCGAAACGGGCAGGACCAGCGAAGAAAGGGATTCAAAAAGATAACGGTCGCCGTACCCCGCAGGGTGGTAGGAAATTGGTAAAACAGCATGAATCGGCCTAGGATGTGGGGGGGGGGGGAGGCAAATCATGTTATATGTTATATAACATGTTATATAAGATTTAAATTTAAAATTCATTTATAGATTCTGGAGCTATTGCTTCAATTTTTTTGTTTATGTTTGTATTTTTTAACATACAATTTCTAATTAACGTTATTTACCAATTACTTTTGTTATTTATTGTTACTATTTGATTTGTTACCGTTATTATATTGATCGAATTTTTCAATTACTTATTGTTATTTATTGTTACCATTTGATTTATTACCATTAGTACAGTTGTCAATTAATTCAGTCGGGGGAAGATCACGGACAAGCCATTATGGCTTCTTATCTTTCCCCTGCATATCCTATTTTACTGTAATATGTTCATTCTTCTATCTGATTATATGCGAATAAACAAACAAATTTAAACAAACAAACAAAATCCACCTCATCATGCTTATTACATGTCCAGCTTATACTGTAGATAGACAAAAATTAAATGAATATAGTCACAAGTAAATGTAGTAAACCTTTGCCAAAGACAAACATATAGCATATAGACACTTCCAATCTACTTATGTCATGCCCCGACTCCATATCTATGTACCTAGGACAATACATATGTAGTGCTTTAGGAAATAGAGAAAGAATTGTGACAGACAGAAATGTTTAATATCATGTGCATCATGGCAATACGCCATTTACGTTGTATTTATGTAGTTTTAGCTTCCAGGAATTGACTAGTATGATTCTAAAGACCACATTGTCATCCTTGCCATACATTGTACCATGTACAACTGTCGAGCAATAAAGATCATATATATATCATTCATTCATGGAAAACAGGAAGCGAAACAGGAAGGGCCAGCGAAGAAAGGGATTCAAATAGATAACGGTCGTGTACCCCGCGGGGTGGTAGGAAATTGGTAGAACAGCAGGAGGGGGGGGGGGTAATTAAAGAGAACGGATGTGCGTTTGTCAATGACGAAATGTACTGGCTGCTTCTTAGCCTCTACCAGGCTTCGGAAGGCGACGTTATTTTCCGTCTCGTAAACGGTCGATGACACTTGAAAGTCGAGGCCATTTCGCTGAACCGTCCAAAAACGAGTAAAAAGTAATACATACTATAAAAGGCAATATTCTAATTGCAAAAATAAGGGAGGAGCATGTAGAATTGTAAATATTAGTGAAAAAAACAAAAAGCACAAGCTCGGATTCGAACCCGGGTCCAAAAGTATAGCTCCAAAACCCTAACCTGTTCCCAACCCCTACACCACTAAACATCACGGTGTGGATGGACCGTGCTAATAAAAGTTAGCCGTTCTGTGATATGGAACCGTTTCAAAAGGCGACGACCGTTTACGAGACGGAAATTATAGGAGGCGACTGGAGAGAGTAGAAATTGGCCGAATAGTGTGATATTATAAACATGCTATGGGAGTTGGGATGCGGCAAACTGTACTCTCTAGCCGCCCAAGTCGGGGTCGTGTGGAGTAACGGTATTAAGCATTCGGCTCAGAACTAAGAGGTCTCGGGTTCGAATCTTGCCATGTCACCGACCTTGTGCCCTTGGGAAAGGCACGTTACACGACTTTGACGTATCGAAAAGACCAGGGGTCCTTCCCGGTGTGAGTGATTAAAACCAGTCTTACACAGCTTGTACAAAACAGACTACAAAAGGCGGTTTACCGGTTATGCGAAACCAAAAAAAAAACAAAGAAAACAAACATAAATATCGCCAATAAAACATTTTACTAACACAGATAACCAAAACAATCTCATATCATCACCATTCCAATGTGTTATTAGTAATACGGAGGAACCCCTCCCTTGGCTGTCTTTTTTTAGTCTCACAGTTCTTGGCCATGTAAAGTCCAGGTATTGAACTAGGTGTCTCCATCTCCTATCTAATCGTGAACCATCTCTACTGCAGAAAGACTCAATGGGAGCATTGACGAGAAGGCATATCCCAGACTGACCACGGGAAATTAGACTATTTCCTGTCACTTAGACGCTGCAATCATCGAGCCTGAACCCCTGAAGAAAGACTGGAGTTCTCTCCAAGCATTGGCGTAGGGCTTCGGCTGATTTTTCAGCATTGGTTATTTACCCCCATTTATTTGCTACCAAAAAGAAATTGTCTTGGAAAAGCGTGCTAACTGCATTGACATGTGTTAAAGATTGAAAACAAACAATGACGCGTTTTGTTACCATTTGATGAAAAATATCATTGATACTTTTCATAATATGGTTTTTAAAAATCATGCATTACCTATTGGTAAAAATGTGCTGGCACCCCCTCTAACCCATTTTAACCAAAAAGTAATGGTACAAAATATTTCTCGGCTTAACACGTTTTTCTACCTCAGATGATTAGATAAGTACTAAATAAATGTACTAAATAATCAAGTCTGATTTTTAACGTATTTTGGGTGTTATTTTCGGGCTTTTTTTCTTTGGAATTGTATCATTTTTCACCACACAGACTTCAGGTAGCCAATGGATAGTGCCCTGCTAATTTGGTACTGTCTTACAGCCTCCAAAACATTTGTTTGGAGATGGAGAGCTAGCACTGGGCGACAGACTAAAAAAAACGTACGTGCTTAGACACGTACGTAGCTATGTGTGGGGCGAAAAAAAAGTGAATTCGCATGAAGTACTAGTTCCATATAACCAACCATACATTACTATACTAGCCTCTACCAGGCTTCAGATGCGGCTGGAAAGACTAGAAATTGGCCAAATAGACAGATAACATGCCATGGGAGTTGGTCTGCTAAAGGAGTATGATTTGCCGATCTCCTGTCATGTTACATTCTATATCTGGCCGATTTCTGCTATTTCAAGGCACCGTGTTGCAGCCGCTTCTAAAGCCTGGTAGAGGCTATCACTATACCAGTCTGCGGAGGAAGGGTTCCGCATGTTTAATAAATGGTTTTTGGTCAAACATTACCCGTGCAATCACAGCCTTTTATAGTGCTGAATTGATGCAGGGTTTACAATCACATAATACACATGATACATTTAACATGTTTGCTTCACACGCTTTTGTGGAACTGTCGCAAGGGTCTGTGGGGTCTGTGTCGCATGGGTAAGTCGTGTAAAGTGCCTTTCCCAAGGGCACAACGTCGGGGCGCATGTCCAGACATGTCCCGGGTACGACTCGGGATCGAACCCGGGTCTCCCCGTTTCATAGTCGAACGTTCTACCACTGCGCCACCCGACGCCACATGAGGTTGTTGGTATCCCTCGATAAATGTGAAGGACACAGTACCAGCGGATGTAAAGTTTTGTGGCGGCAAAATAAAGGATGCGCACGCATGATTTCCCAAAAGCCTCACGGCCATATATATTTTTCCAGTACCCGGTAGAAATACAATACAGAGAAAATATGGTGTATCTACGCATATCTTCCTGTATACTATTGGCGAAATCGTATCCATATATATCCATATCTCGTAATCACAGATGTTTCATTATGTTAATTTTGCTCTGTTTCATCTTCTTCTTCTCCAAACCAATGACCTGAACCAGAAGTCTGTCACCATGGTAACTAGTGTTGGGTTACATTATGTTGCAATATTATAGTTTTCGTTCCAAACGTTCGTACGTGATTATTGAAAGCCTATCCCAAAGCATGGTTCAGTTATGCTTGACTATTTTTGTTATGTTTCAGAACACTGTATTTGAATAGCCATGATATCACTGCGTCATATCAGAATCATGATATTCATATAATGCAGATTAAAGTTCCCCGGGGAAGCTAGAGGAAGTGATACCGCAGACTTTATTAAAGAAGCTGGCATTTAATATCCAGGTTGTTGTGTGAGAGGGTAGTTGTAGTGAGGAGGCTAGAGGGTTGACTTGTTTCGTACGGGCGGTAGAGGTGTCACCATGCTGCGGCCAGTGTCTCCGTCCTTTGTGCTGATTTTTCTGCTGCTGCCGGGGTGGCGTTTGTGCGAGGGAGAACACTACAGGTACTGTCTCTGTTATCTGTTAGGCCACATTGACTTAATTTTATAGATGCCTTCCTCTGAAGACCCCCAAACTAATGCGCGCGGGCGAATAAAACAATTCCAGTCAAAAAAATGCTGGTAAACCACAGGGATACAAAGCTGGTGTTTGTGAATTTGCGGCAGTACATGGCGACTTTTACTACAAGCCGGCACATGCTAGCTGGCCTTTTGTGGCATTTATGAGTCGACACTGTATACGTACTGAGTTCTTGAGTACAGAGGTGCTTCGGCAGCCTGGGTGCCGTTCTCCGTAGTTGCCGCCGGCTCCCTATTGTCGCTACCTCCCATGGACTACGGAGGATGGCATCCAGGCCTCGGAAGACGTGATTGTTTAGAACATGCGAAAATCAATTCGTGCGTAGTCTTCTCTACATGTCTTTTGCTTATGTCTTTGTTGAAATTATTTTCTCTCAAAATATTCTGTCTTTATATTAAGTCTATTCATATCCGCAAGTACTGCTCTACCAAATATAAAGTGGGGTCGTGTGGCGTAGCGGCAGAGTGCTCGACTCGGAACCTAGAGGTCCCGGGTTCGAGTCCTGACATGCCACCGATCTTGTGCCCTTGGGAAAGGCACTTTACACGACTTTCCTCACTTCGCTCAGGTGAAAATGAGTATTGTATTGTCCCCTGTGTTGGTGGCGGCATTAATATAAGTTTGAAAAACTTAAGTGTGTCGTCACCACGTCTTGTGATTACACGTTGGAAATTATACAAAAAAATATACACATATAAAGAGGTGAAAATAACTGATATTTTTACCTTCTACACTTGGACCAACAGCGGTTTTGGATGGAAGTTCCCAACAACCCAAAACCCAACAAAGGGAAACACCGACCCTTGGCGGGAGTTTCACTTCGACCTCGACCCAACACCGAGCAACAACAACGACTTGCCGTCACAGGGCGGCAACTTGACAACGACCAAGAACAACAACAACAACAACCTTCAGTCGGGGTTACCAACTAACGACGAATCAACAACGGCTAAGAACGACTACAAAACGAGCGAAGGGGATCTGCAATGGAAGTTCCGTGCAAAGCGCGACTTTGATGCCATCATGGAAAACATGGCCCAGGTATGTGCGAGCTCGTTTCTTAGCACTGTATCAATTTTCTTTTTAACTCATTTTTTTCACTAGTAAGGACACAGCGTCTTAATTTTATCGATGACATCCCCGCGCGCATTGATTTTTGCCTGTTCTCAAAAAAAAAAAGATCATGTCCCCCGAGGCTCTGGCCTGGCTCTAGGCCTGGGTAGTCCATGGTAATTAGCGACAATACGGAGCCGGTGGTTACTCTGGAGGATGGCACCCAGGCTACCGAAGCTCCAGTGCCGATTCATAAATTCCACAAAAATCCAGCATGTGCCGGCTTGTCGTATACGTCGCTAAGTACTGTCGCAAATTCACAATACCAGCTTTGTATTCCTGTGGTGTTTAGTAGCGTTTTTATTTTTGGCCAGAATTTTTTTATTCGCCCCCGCGCACTAGTTTGGGGGTCTTCAGAGGATTTCATCCATATAACTAAGTCGGTGTGGCCTAAAGGCTTCTGATTCGATTCGTCTTTTAGCGATTATGACGATTGTTAACACAGATAAAGAGGCTTAACATGTGTTTGAACGGAAAAACATTTCTGAACTAAAAAAATGAGATAAATTGCTAGATCTCATTTTTTCACTAGTAAGAAGTACAAATAATTCTTTTGATAGTACAAAATAACACCCCAAGCTCATTTTTTTCAATCGAGTATGATAATTTATTGGGTTAAAAGTAAAGAAAAAAACACTAGCACCACTTTTTGTCTTAATTCGTCTTTTGACCTCTTTTACAGATATATTTTTGTACTAACTAAAGAAACAAATGCAATAATCAGGTCTTGTTTGCTTGTAATCATTAGAAATGACTAGGATACAGTTTGCTGCATGTTTAGGTAAAACTATAAGGTAAAACATTTTCTTAACGACAAATTAGACACGTTTTTTGCCATTCATTGCATAATATTGCATTTTTTATGCAAAAAAAATCAGTATGCAAGAGAATATGCCAGCTACAGAGCCATAATAAACAGTATCCATCTATGATATTGAGGTTAAGTTTTGATGTCTATCAGACACCCCTTTTTCGGAAGTATCCATTTATTTGGTCTGTACATACACAGAGGAGGTAACGTTACGTGCAAGTAACATAGTACAATATATACACTTGACAATACATACTGGCCATTGTCTTTTATGATAACTATGTCTAAAGCTTCTAAATTGAAATTTATTTCTTTTGCTTATATAAAAAAGACGCCATCTTTTGTTGTTAGCATTCATGTATAACTTGGTTACCAAACCTATTTTTTCTGCCGAGTCTCTCGTGTTCTCTCTGAAAATAGGTCTTGGCCCGCAATTTGCGTAGATTTTTTTCAAATTTTTTAAAACCTTAAAAAACTTATTATTAAAACATAGCAGATATACAATCGTACATAACAATAAATACAAAAAATCTTGATATTTGAACATGAAAGTAGTTATCTAGATGATGATCATTTAAAAAGTTACCTTTGTTATGTTCAATTTCCATAGTTTTGCTTAGTCTGTTTCTAAAAATTGTGAAGTTTGTCTTGAGATTTTTGATGACACATAGGTAAATACAATATTTAATTTTTAGCAATAAGAATACAATGTGCAAGTGCACTAACATAGTGTTGATTTTCAATTATACCGTCAAATTTCAATCATCTTTTCGTCTAGGATTCGGTCTTGTTTTGTACAACGTAGATTTGCGTAGATAACTAAAGAGATTCGGCAGCTAAAATAGGTTTGGTAATAACGAGACAAATGCATGTCCATTTTTGAACAGGTCGACATGTCGCTTTTTGAGCAGAATATCGACAAGATGAGAGTGCTTCTGAACAACGTAACTAACACGGTACGTGACAGCTGTATCTTATTTTAGTTCTGTAGGTGTTAGGAGATTTTATTTGTTTATTTATTTTATCGTGAAACAGCTAGGTTGCCCTTTCAGCTAGTAGGAACTGCTTTCCAATACATTTACACAGGACAAGACATGGTCAAGCAACAAAAGGTGGACTACAGTCAATAGAATTCAAATTGTGGGGTCGTGTGGCGTAGCGGCAGAGTGCGCGACTCGGAACTAAGAGTCCCGGGTTCGAGTCCTGACATGCCACCGATCTTGTTCCCTTGGGGAAGTCACTTAACACGACTTTCCTCACTTAGCTCAGGTGAACATGAGTATTGTCCTGCCATGTATTTGTCCCTGTGTTGGTGGCGGCATTAATATAAGTTGAAGACACTTGAGTGTGTCGTCACCACGTCTGGGGATTACATGTTGGAATAAATAAATAAATAAAATTCAATGCATCAAAAACAAAAGCATGTCCATAAATCAAAGGAGGTTGAGCCATGGTTCGGGACTTGTCAGCTAGTGGTTGGAAGTAGGTCGGCAGTGGTCGGGGCGTAGTTTTCAGTCAGTTCGATTCGATTTGTATCGAAAAGTAGGTATGGCCTAAATCTGGCCAGACTGCTCCCGAACGTCAGCCAAACTTGTTTGTGGTTGGTGGTCTGGAGAAGGTTCTAAATGTTTGACTTAAAGGCACCCAGTGCAGTTTTTTGGGCTTGGAAACCAGATTTTAAGTCAATATTCTAGTCACTTATCTACATACTAAGTTGAAATAACACTGCCCAAATATATATCGACATTCATGGAGCAAAAATGCTCAAAAGTCTGACGAAAAACGGTCACTGGAAGGACCTGGATTGATTTTCAGGGTACCACCCTGAAAATTTCATTTCATTTATTTCATTTATTTCGAAACCTTTTAGCCCTGCAGGGCTAGTCTTCCAAGGCTCAAATACATGGAATACAGGCACATCGTTGCATAATTATATACATAGGAAATAGTGCATAAGATACAGTGCAAACGTTTAAAAAGACAAGAATACATCAAACATCAAACATTTAAAGGAACGCATAAATGAATATTAACAATTTAAAAACTAGAGGTCGGCTTCATGTGACACTGTTTACTATGGCTTTCTTAAACTTGAGAAGGTTACTCAGTGTCTTGACATGATAAGGTAGGTCGTTCCACAACGATATAGCACGATACAGGAATGAGCGCTTCTTACTGTTCGTCTTAGGTTTGGGTAATCTAAAGTTGTACTGTGCAGCAGATCTGGTATTGTGAATGTGAGATACATGAACAGGCACAAGGGAGTTGTATATATACTGTGGTTCATGACTAGTGACAATCTTAAAGAACATAACCAGTGTGCTAGAGGAGAATCTCTCACTCACAGTCAGCCAACCAAGATCAATATGCATCTGCCTGGTAGGTGTATCAGGAGCACATTTCAATAATAATCTACAAGCCCTATTCTGAACTACTTGCAGTTTGCGCATGTTAGAGACTGACATGCTAGCTAAAACTGGTGCGCAATACTGTACCACTGACAAAACCAGTGCACAAACAACAACCTTACAAACTGCAAAAGGCATCGCCCACATGTGTCTTCTCAATAAGGCGATGTTCCTAGATTGTTTTGAGGCAATGTGAGTGACCTGTAAATTCCAGGTGAGCGACCGATCCATATGTAGCCCAAGCAAAACTGTCTCCCTCACTTCCTGAACCTTCTCATCACCGATAACAAGATCTAGTGAATTGTCAGGTATATTAGCAAGCCTACGTGGGGTTCCGAAAAGCATGCATTTGGTTTTAAGAATATTTAACACAAGTTTATTCATGCAAACCCAGTCTGATAAACTTACAAGGTCGGAATGCAAACCAACAGTGATGTCACTTATAGTCTTACCGGCTTTGTAGATAGATGTATCGTCTGCGTACATTTCAGGTGTACTGCTTAACACAGACAAAGGTAGGTCATTCGTAAACAGTGTAAAAATAAGCGGGCCTAAACAACTTCCCTGAGGGACACCACACTGAAGTACAGAGGGTTCAGAGAAATGACCATTGATATAAACAACCTGTGATCTAGTCTTGAGATAACTCGTCATCCATGACATAGCGTTTGAAGAAAAGCCATATGATTTAAGCTTGGCCAACAAAATATCATGGTCAACGAGGTCAAATGCGGCACTAAAATCCACAAACACTGCACCCACCAACTCGCCCCTGTCAAAAGCGTTGAGCCAATCATCAGTCATTCTTAGTAGGGCAGTGGTTGTAGAGTGATTTGGGCGATAGGCATGTTGGTGGGGTGTAATGATGTTGTTCAAAGAAAGGTAGTGCCAGATTTGATTATGCACTATCTTTTCCAATACTTTGCTCAAAGTTGGAAGTAAGCTAATGGGTCTGCTATTGCTCCCTGTCAAAGGAAGTCTGGTGTTTTTAGGTAAAGGGCAGACCTTAGCCATCTTCCACTGAGCTGGGAAATGGCATCCCGTCAGTGACAGGTTACAGATATGTCTCACAGGTGCAACAATGTAAGGTGCAGCCAATCTGACTAATTTGTTTTCTAGCTGGTCAATCCCACATGTTGTAGACATAGGTATGTCAAGTAATAATCCAAGAACATCATCCATGCTAACAGTATTAAACTGAAAATAAAGGACTTTATCTTGGGGCTTGCTTCTACAGATGCTCTAAGTATAAAATACTGACTCAAATGTGCTAATGTGGGACAGTATGTGTCAATGTATTAGCCTGGGTTCCATCCTGGTTAGTTTACGTCCGCTCCCACAGTCGCTACCACCATTTGTCTATTGGTGGTAACGACTGTGGGAGCGGACGTAAACTAACCAGGATGGAACCCAGGCTATCAATGTATTGCCTTATTCAGAATATTTCCAGTTTTGCCATCCTGAAATTGCATGGGGTGCCTTTAAATGATTTCCGTTTTTCCGTTTCAGACCGCAGTCGCCGATACCATGTTGGCCCCATATTGGCCTTTCGGTGCCAAGATGTACAAAACTCTGGTTGACGTCGTCCCGCAGACGTACGACGAGGCCAAAGCTGCGTGTGAGGCGGAGGGCGCGGTGCTCCCCACACCGAAGGACCAGACGGAGCTGAGCCGGCTCACCAGGAACCTGTTTCCGTGGTAAGCCACGCACACGGCTCGCCAAGATATTCCACCTGGTGACTGGGACAAACCAAAATGTCGGCTGACTCTATCGCTGGTTTTGTTTACATGATGTATATGCAAATCACTTGAAAACATGTGAAAACTGTCGGTAGACAAATCAACCAATCGTCACCCGTTTTTTGCCTGACGTCATGGCGATCGCTCGATATTGCTACAAACGGGGGGCTGTGATTGGCTATAAGTTGAGTAGACATGCACCGTGCACGTGACCGGAATTTTCCAGAAATTGGGCTGGAATAAATTAGTTTCCGGTTTCCTCTTTGTCATAAAACCTGTTGTTGTTTTTTCTGGAGTAATATTTCGTGGTAGTAAGGATGCTTTATCGTCTGTTCCAAGAGTAATTTATGTTTAGGCCAAAGCAAGTAAATTTTATGGATGACATCCTACACAGACTCCAAATCTAATGCGATAGGGTGAAAAAGAAACAGGGCGGGATAAAAAAAAAACAAGATTCCTACATTTTAAAATTTAATCATTTACACATTTTCATCATAAACCTTGTTAGACAAGAATTGATACCTATATTGTGCTAAGGTTACCGTCAAATATTTCAAAATCCAGTTCTCACTGAAACAACTTTTTTTCTCACTGAAACAACTCACTGAAACAACTGTTTTGTACGATTTACAGTATGGTTGAAAACTTTTTTTGAAACGGTCGAAGATTCATACGCGCGCGGATGTCATCCATATAATCAAATCAACATGGCCTAACCAGGCTAATGTTCTGTCCGCAGGCTGCTGCAGGATAGTGCGTGGTTGGGTCTGCGGAGGAACGCGACGGCAGGCGAGCATCACTGGGTGTGGGGCGACGGCGAGCCGCTAGGGGGATGGCAGCGATGGGGCGTCGGTGTCGACTGCTACCGGGACTTCCTACAACCACAGGTAGAATGGTTGCCGTCGATTTCCCTGAGACAGCGAAACGAGTTTCCCCGACCCGCGGTGCAGCCGCCCATGTGCCCGACGGAACGTCTGAACTGCGCGCATATGGGTGCTGGAGGCACCTGGACCAAGGCAACGTGTGACAACAAGGCTAAAGGGATCTGCGAAAGACCAGGTGAGAAGAATGTACATACCCTGGGTGCCAGACAAGTTTACGGGCCGCTAACCGCTAACCGCTAACCTGGTGTAGAAGCTGATGAAGACTGAGAGATTCAGTCGGAAATTTCTGCTGAGTTATTTTCGCTTTGAGTTGGAAAACAATTTAATTATCTTCATGTATTTTACCAACTCAAATGAACTTTCATGCTAGGATAACGACTTCAATTTTGCCCCCCCCTCTCTTTCTACAGTCCCTGGGTGTGAATCTGTGCGTCCACGCGAAGTGTTCCGTGTGGTAACAAATTCCAGGATGTCAGTGTACTCAAAATGGGAGGAGGTGGCATCCAGCAACTGGGCTCAGTGGAACGTAAAGGAGGTAAGTCGTCTACAAATTTGTTTGTTTTGCATAACCGGTAAACCGCCTTTATGCGTAACACACCGTACATGTACAAGCTGCGTAAGACCGGACTGTAAGGTTTGAACCTCTCACACCGAGAAGATCCCCTGCTCTTTTCGATAAGTGCGGTGAGTTCTTTAACGTGCGCAGGGTGTGGCTCTCCCCAAACACGGGACCTCCATTTAAAGTCTTATCCAAGGGACGTCCATAACCGAAGCTAGGTACTCGGTTAGGGACTCATTTCCACCTGAGTGAAGCCTTTCCCAAGGGCACAAGATGGGTGACATGGGCAGGGTTCGAACCCGCGACCTCTCAGGTGTGAGTCGAACGCGCTACCGACTGCACCACACGACCACCACGAAATATCAAATGAGGGGACCCATAGCTTGCTGGTTACCAAAACGGTAGGTTATATATAGGTTTGGTACCCAGGCTAGAGGGCCGAGAATCGTGACACTTACTGCCGAGCACAAAAGCTATCTACCACCCAGAATTCGTGACCTTAGCATGTCCAGATCACGAAATATCAAAACTGGAAGTTCCGCTGCAGTATCATAAGAAGCCGCCAGGTGGCCTAAATCTAATCATTTTGAAATCTCATCAATACCTACCCACCTACCAAGTTTCGTGGCAATGGGACAGGGTTCATATTCAACTTACTACATTTTTTTTAAAAATGACCAGAAAATTGACTCTGAAAATCTAGTTTTACTGCCCTGAAATCACTTTGAATGCTATATTTTACTGAAATAAACTCGTGCTCACTTTGAATGCTATATTTTACTGAAATAAACTCGTGCTCTGAAAATTTGAGCGCTTTGCTGTGTGATCTAACTCGAAATCGCCTCCATGCGGCGAATTCAATTACTGCAGCAAACACATCCTGCAAACCTCAATATCCAACTAACCCTGCTGTCTACCCTACAAGGTGATTGTTGAGCTGTTCAAGAATCACAGCAGCGTGGTGAAGCTGGTGTTCGACGGCAAAGGCACCGACCACCTGAACTGGTTCTCCTCGGAAACCCTGCTAGTCGCCCCGTGGACAGATCTCAATCACCCGACCTTCTTCAGTATCAAGGGGGGCGAGAAGGACGCCAGGTAATCTATCTAAAACTAGAGACGTAACATTTGCAAAGTAAATGCATAATGTTTACCTTCGGACTAGCCTGTGTATACACAAGCTCTCGGCTGGAGGTTAATGACCCCCACCCCAAGGGTGCGGCAACCTAGGGCGGCGGCCGCCAGGAGCGCGATTTAGTCAGGCTACCTTCGGACATGGTCTGCTCTGTTAATTCTTACTCAAACACATTCACATACATGTACTACTTAGTATATGGTGACAGGAGCAGAGCAGACCATGAAATTGCAACATTATGTAACCCAACACCAGTCACCATGGTGACCGACGTCAACAAATCATGTCATTGGTAAGGTCAGAGGTCACTTTTTGGAGAAGAAGAAGAGGAAGAAACAGAGCAAAAACAATATGTTTTCCTTCGGTAAATGTAATAATAGCCTGCTGGTCAAACCTATTTCAGGCCACAGCAAGCAATTTTTATTCATGACATCAGCGCGCGAATTAATTTTAGACTGGTTTTGAAAAAAAAAAACAAGAAATTTTGTTGCCTTCTGACTGAGGCCAACATGCCGAAAATGGGCAAAGATGTCTGTTGTAGGCCGATTGCAAGTACATGTTGTATGCAAGTACATATAGTATGTGACTACTCTAACTACTAAACACTACATTATGTTACATACGCATCCTTACGAACTGAATAATCTTTTTTGTTTATACTATCATAAAAGTTCATCTGTGTTGGTAGTTACATGTTTAGAATTAAAACTCTTGGTCCAACACAAAAAAGTGCTCTCACCTAGAGCTTGTGTAACGTCAACACTGGGTCAAAGGTATCTTGTAGACGATGTCGGCCCCCGTCGCGGTTCAATGAAGATGTATACCTTTGACCCAGTGTTGACGTCACACTTCAAAGAAGCCACGTGACAAGCTTCAATGGGTCAGTCTACTGAGGAAGACCAGAGTGCCTGGTCGAAAGCTCTAGGTGAGAGAACATTTTTTGTGTTGGACCAAAGGCTTTCACTCTAAACTTTTTTGTTTATATTTGTGTGTTTCCAAAAACAGGCGGTTCTTTATCCACCAAGATTACCTGGGGTGTTCGTTCGACAGAGGCTGGCTGGCGGTGTTGGAATCCCAGAATCCTCCCTGCGCCTGGGAACGACCTCATGGCTACACGGACCACAACCTACCCATCATCCTCTACTCCAAGTCGCCTGGGAAGGTCAACTGGGCTCGAGGTAAGTTGGGCTCTCTTGTAGCCATCTTGGTCCAAGCACTGAAGCAGAGGTTTAGACTTTGGCTTATTTTTACCTACATGAAAATGTAGGTATTGTTTTCGGCCTGTCTGTCTGTGTGTCTGTCTGTGTTTCTGCATACTTGTTATGGTCAGATTAACTTCAGAACGCCTTTATAGATTGTCATGAGATTTGGTATGTTGGTAGTTCTTAGAAAGGCAAAGGTGGAATCTGGGCCTCCTGGTGGATGACCTTGGTACTGCAGCAGAACGTCCCGTTTTTGTATCTTTTGTCCTGAACATGCTATGGTCGTGACTTTTTTACAGATAGCTTGTCCTGTCAGGAATAAGTGGTGTGGGTTTGGTCTCCCTATCAGCTTGTTCTGGAACTGCAGGGGGGTTTTCTGAGAAATCCTAAAAGCGGATAAATCCAGAAAGAATCATGTCTTTTTTTCTGTTTAACTTTCATTTATATCTTTTGTTATTCAAAATAAACTACAATATTTTAATGGATACATATTACAAGTCTTAACACTACTGTTAGTGCCCTGTCCCCCGTTTAATGGTACGGTCAAAAAAGTGGTTATTATTAGGATAACCGACCATTTAGGTTACGGCCTGATGACAAATGGAGCCTTCTGATTGGTCAACGCATTCTGGCTATATGATAATCGTTATTATCTACTTCCAGATCCACAAGACGTTGGCGTAGCCGACACCATGACTGTGTCCATCGTGGAGTGTCTGAAGATGTGAGCCGAGCGCGTGGAATACTCTGTAGGCAGTCTGTAGACTTGAGAAGTGTACAATCTGAAAGAATCTGTAGAACTGCGATTGGTAGTACAAGATATTTTCATGGTCATTGCTTTGTAGATCTCACCCAACTAGTTCCACCACTTTTAAGCGATCCACTAGGTTCTCCACTAGCTCACACAACTTCACCGTCCAAATTCCTTGTTCGAAATCTTACAGTGACAGTTTCTTTCCCCGTACGGCTAAGCTTTGGAATTCCCTCCCTGACAAGTGTTTCCCACCGACCTACAATCTACAGGCTTTCAAATCAAACGTTCACCCCCATCTCTTGACATAGCCATGTTTCTCTCATATTTCTAGTTCAATGCCGAGAAGTGGTCGTATAGGCCTAGCATTGAACCACTCCGATGAAAAAAAATAGATCAAAAGTGGTATAACATATTCGTGGCGCTTTGGCGCAAGTAAGTTTTTGCAATGTGGTTTCAGAATAATCGGTTTATAAAAATCTATTAACCTTTCGCTTAATGTATAGTGATATGCGACTAAGTTCTTCTATGTTGAAGCAACTTAGCAACAGAGAGATGTGACAGGTTTTTGTAGAGCAATTTTGGCCAGGATGAAATCTCGATGTTTTTGTAATTAGAATGGTGTATTGTAATGCATTTTTGATTGTTAGGCCATGTTGATTTGATTATATGGATGACATCCGCGCGTGCATGAATTTTCGGCCGTTTCCAAAAAAAAAAAAGTTTTCAACCATACTGTAAATCGTGTAAAACAGTTGCTAAATGAGCAAATATATACCATAAGTTGCAAGGAAAACATTTAGAAACGATACCAATGTCGTAGAATGCCAACATCAAAGGAAAAAAGAATGTAAAAAAATGTAAAGAAATGAATTTGAAGAGTAGATTATTCGCCATAACATATTCTGTGCCATTTGTTCAACCTTCAGAACCACGTAGATTTCATAGTGAAAGCAACTTTTTTTTTTGCAAAACTTTTTTTATTCGCACGCGCGCATCAGTTTTGGGGTTCCCAGAGGATGTCATCCATATAATCAAATCAACATGGCCTTATGGATATTGTAACGTGTTCTTGATGTGTATATGGTAAAGGGGCATTATGTAACATTATTGAACAAAAAATTGAAATATTCGAATTGAAAAAAAATGTTCGTGTGGTTGATTCCAATTTTCCACATTTTGTGCAAGTCCGCACAAGGCGCACTCATTTTGTGGTGCCACCACAAACTACCAGAATGTAAACAAACATGGCTGACAGTTATGTTTACTACTTTTCAACACACTCGTAAGACGCCATATTTTGGCACCTCCACTTCCTGAATGGCACTTATTTGCAAAGGAGTAGGGTTGATTCAACTTAATTTGTAAAGAAATGACCAGAAAATTTACTGTTTGTATCGTCGTAATGTTACATAATGTCGCTTTATGATAGGTGACCAGTATTATGTAGTACTACTTGATACCGCTAGGAGGTGCCCTAGGAACGACATATGTTTAGAACAGGCAGGTCGGTACTTATGGTAGCAGAACACAGTTTTCGCCCTATGGGGATTTCTATAGTTAAGGACCCCAAGATGACTCACTTCGACGCGGTAAGAATTATAGCAGGGTGCACTTCACAAATACGAACATCGAATATGTTTCAGAAGAAGGTACAAACAACAAAATATCTAGAAACCAAAAAATCCTGTCGGCGTATCTGCTCGTAACGTACACTTTGAAATCGCCCTCAACGGACGTGACCTGAACTGCAGCCGACTCACCCAGAAAGCCAGTTGCGCAATACGGCGCATTTATACACGAACTGCAAAACCTTCACAATTCAAATCATACAGTCTCAAACCCGACACATTCCTACACCACACAGCACAATTTACATCTGGCTGACGCTCTTATCAGGCTTTCTACCCAGCCTTCAAGAATATTCGCAGCACCACTTTCTATACCCGCGTCACAGACCCCCGGGGGTCGCCCATTAATACTGTGTTCTGCTACCTTATTCAGCTGTAGTACGAAGTTATATGTGCGACCAACGCTGAAGGAATAATACAGACATTTATTGCACATCGGAATGGACAGAACAAAACTTCAGTGATCACGAACGAACTCTTCTCTTGACACGGTTATACAGGGACTCATGACTGCACTGTCTCCCTCTACCTCCCTCATATACTCAGGGCTCGAAATACTGGATGCATGTGTACCTTCGTGTACCCAACTTTGGAGCTGTGCACCCGGGTTTTTTTTCTGTGGTTGCTCAAGTGCACCCAGATATTTTCATAAGTTTACGTATGTCTAGATGTTAAATGTATAGTAGTATACAGCGTTAACATTTAAGTGTCTGAAAAATGATAAAACCTTTCTTGTAGTACTTTTCTTTAGAAATGAAACATAATTAGTTTTTGCTGACATTCTCCTTATTTTATTTTATATGATGCACCCAAGAAAGCTTTTGTGCACCCAATTTTTAGGTTAATTGGGTGCACCAGTGCACCTTTTCCCAAAAATGAATTTCGAACCCTGCTATACTAGTACCTGTCAAGTCTGGAATGGAGGTACAACTTGTTTTAATAGGACTATAACACATGTATTTCCACCATTGTTGTCATGTTACTGGCAGGATTCTCACCTTGACTGAAAGAATACTGACATTAATGTGTACACTGTATTTACAATATTTCATAATGTAACAACCCGGCTTTCATGAATATATAACACTACAAAATATGCTTCTGAAAAAGATACATGGATCTCGACAGGCTAGGAAAGACATATCCTTTGTACAAGTTTGATATAACGACACTGGATTTTTCTATGGTGTGTGTCTTACGATATGTTAGGCCACAGCATGTAAATGTTATGGATGACATCCTCCAAATCTAATGTGATAGAGCATTTTCAAATTTTGACACCAGAAACCTTCTTAATCAAGAAATTATACATTTATTGCCATTTACCCATTTTCGGCTTGCTGACTGTAAGGGGGTAACAAAATTTCTCTTTTTTTCCAAAATCAGGCGAAAATTAATATGCGCGCGTTGATGTCATCCATATAAATTGCCTACTGTGACCTTACAATTACATAGGAATGGCTAGGAAAACAGCATATTAACAATGAATAAATGTTGTACAATGGACCATGCACTGAGAGTAACGTCATAGATGTCTTGCCTCAATACAAGTTTTACCTCAGCATACATGCCGTACATTTAGATAAAGAATCTACCGTTTGGGGTGGGTATTAGTGCCCCCCCCCCTCTCTGGCATGAGGCACATGATGACATACAGGTTAGGCCACACCGATTTTATTTTATGGATGACATCCTCTGAAGACCCCCAAACTAGTGCGCGCGGGCGAATAAAAAAAATTCTGGCCAAAAATAAAAATGCTACTAAAGCACAGCAAAACAAAGCTGGTATTGTGAATTTGCGGCAGTACTTAGCAACGTATACGACATGCTGGCTTTTTGCGGCATTTATGAATCGGTACTGTACTTATGTACTGAGTTCTTGAGTCGCGGAGCTTCGAATTCGATAGCCTGTGTGCTCGGCTCCGTTTTGTCGCTGACTACCATGAACTACCCAGGCCTAGAGCCAGGCCAGAGCCTCGGTGAACGTGATCTCTTTTTTTTTTAGGGCGACAGGCAAAAATTAATGCGCGCGCGGATGTCATCCATAAAATTAAGTCAGTGTGGCCTTACTTTAACAACACATACTGTAGCCACAAATGGCTGGTCCAGATCTAAAGATACAGATACTGAGTGCACGTTAGGCCATTTTGATTTGATTATATGGATGATCATGACATCCTCGTGTGCATAAATTTTCCTCCGTTTCAAAAAAAAAAGTTTTCAAACATACTGTAAATCTAAGGAGCTTTCATCGTGTGATAGAAGCTTCTAGGTAAATCGGACAAAGCACCTGCTAATTCATCAAAATATATGCCGTAGATTAAAAAAAATATCTGAAAACTATCATAATACTAACGCTGTAGAATGCCAAAATCAATTCCATCAAGGAAAATAAGAAAATGTGAAGAAATGAAAATGAAGAGTCCATTATTTGCCATACCATACTCATTTGTACAACCTTCATAACGACGAACATTTCATAACATAAAATAAAGCAACTTTTTTGCGAATTTTTTTATTCGCACGCTCGCATCAGTTTTGGGCGTTCCCAGAGGATGTCATCCAAATAATCAAATCAACATATGGCCTTAAGCAATTATTTGTGCCAAGCAAAGAGATTTCCACTATCATTATCAAAGTAATACCCTATTAGAAATTTACACCGGAGAGTTTAGATATGCGAAATAGCTTTATCTTTTATATATTATACGTGACTTCACCTTGCATTGGAACGGCGGAATAAAACATGTTGATAATTATGATTTATAATAATAAGTCGTGGAAAGCTTCAACGAAGCAATTCTTAACCTATCCTTTCAAAGTAGAGCTGTGTAGCTATACAAATTTTAGGTACTGGCCACAGGTAGAGGTTGAGATACAGGTCTGGACCTAGCTGTATGTACCTATCATTCCAGATACACTGTCGCCATATTGATTCTATTCTCGCGAGAGCACATCCTTAGCGTGAGCGCGCGTGATCTCGCACGAAAGCGAGACTCCGGTTGGATCGCGCATTTCCCTGTATACGCAAGTTTGACCAATCATCTCTGAGTTATACGTGTAGCCAACAACTGTACATGTATTTAGTGGTAAATTGCTGTCTTTCTATGAGGAATTACATATTTTAATCTAAAGAAAAAATAATACATTGTAATATTTAGAAGTCGTACTAAGTGCTGAGTTGTCAGAATCGTCAATTTTGAGATGACGACTCTCAGTCATATCCATTATTGTTTTCAGGTACACGCACAGGTACATCAAATGTTCAGGTCCGGACCTGTACCTAAATACAGGTACTGGCATTAGATACACAGCCCTACTGTAGTACCCTGGTATCCAGTCTATT